CGATTTTTGAAATTTTGAAAAATTTGGAGTGACCTCTTAAAAATTTTTTTTTGAGCTGTCCTTTGGTGAGGGCTCTTGAAACATCAAAAACTAACATTTTTTCACTCGAGACTCAAAAAAAAAAAAATTGTCGGTTTTTTTGCGCCACCCTAATATATATAATTTATAGCTGCGTTGTGATAACAGTTTTCATATTAAGACTTTGTTTGTGAGTTTGACTGTTACTTTGCGCTGGATCCGCTACCAACCAGGGACTGATATCTGATACCGTGGTACAGGAATCCTGTATTAAAAAAAAAAAAATTTTTAATACATTTAAAAATAAAATAATTAAATAACAAACACAGTAGGATTAATTACAGCATGCAAGCATTTAAAAAAAAATGACTAACCGCACGAGTAAATGTTGTAGTTACAGTAGTGTTAGCTGGTGTCGTTGTACTAACAGGAGTACTATTAGTACTGGCAGTAGTAACCGTAGTTAAAGGCACTTGTTCAGGTTCAGTAACAGTAGCAATAGGAATGGTACCATTACACTCCTCCTCTTTCTCAATCTCGACTATTTTCTCTAGCACCGTTGGTATGTCTTTGAAAGGATTGAGCAGACCCAAAAATGGATTTGAATCGATAAATGGATTGGTGTTTTTATTTTCATTGCTCTCTTCGCACTTAGTCTCTGTTATTTCTTCGATGCTAGTAGTAATACTGTCAGTGGTACAAGTATCACTGGTAAATGGATTAAACGGATTTTGTGATGAATTAGCTAATTTATTACTGAATGGTGTTGTTTTCTGAGCAATCTGTCCCCAGCTGTCTAGCGAGAAATGTGTTACCGTGACGGTATCATCAGCTGGTGGTGGACTTGGAGTTAACGGCGCAACTCCGCTGACATTGAGAGTTAATTTATCGCCTCCCTATGAGTTAAAATATAGCAAAAAAAGCGTACAATAATAAGCTAGCGAGACAAACACGCTTACGCATAGATAGTAATAACATATAATGATAAATATTATTATCAAATAGCCTTGAATTAAAATCAACGACTGTGTAATAATATGTGTATGTATAAATTATAAATTATAAATAAATAAATACGTACCACGGATACGATAGTTGCTGCATCGGAATGTTGATTTTTAATAGAACATAAACTACCGCTGTCTGTTGATGTAATAGATACAAGATTAGAATTTTTTTCAGTCTCCAGTGACTTGGCTTTTAATATATTGCACTTTAATGATTCAGGTGGTATTGGCGATCGAGCTGATAGCAAAAGAGTACCACCGATTTGATTATTGGGCAGTGATTGTAGTGAAGAATTAATACTTTCGACAATAAGATTTGTTTTCATCGGTTCTGTTTCTTTTTCTGGAGTTGGAACACTCGCCGTCTGGTTTTTAAGCTCCAGGGGCTGAGCATCTTTAGCTAATGACTTGAGTATTGAGTCAACAAGCGGTGACGTTGACGTTGTGGATGTTGTTGGCTGAATAACACTCACGGCTGATGATTCTGAACTAGAATGGCTTGACTGACGCTGTAATGACGGCTCTAATTGGACACTAGACGCCTGTGGCACTTGAGGTTCTGGCTGATGACGCTGCCGTTCACGCAGAACGTGACTCTGTCGCCTCGCGTAACGCTGGCTAGGTCGCCGTTCAAACTGAACGGTGCGTCTAGCACGGTTCAATTGAGTTGTCTGAAACTCTGTTTTTCCGCTGTAGCGAAAACGCGAACCCATGCGGAAGAAATTCTGACGGCTACTTGCGCCTTTTACCGGCGCTCTTAAGCGAAAAAATGCGTGATGCTCAACAGCACACTTCCATAAATGTTTACAGGCTTTTTCGTTAACCAGACGAAAGACAAATGTATGCTCTTGCTCACCTCGGCCTTCGTCATCTTCCTCGACTACCACCAACGTCAGTTTCTTTTTCTTGAAGTCTAGTCGTCCGATCTTAGGCCAGAAAAATAGACCGATCTTTTGATTTCCTTCGAATACTAAAATTCCGGTTGGTGTTAGACCTAGTGAATATTCACAAGCATCTTTACCCAGCACCGTATGCATATCTACACCATACATGTCAAGCCATTTAGCTTTGCTCAAATACGAGGACTCAGCCTGAGCTGGACTTAATCCCGAACAGTTTTTGTACTCATCTAAAATTTCTAATTCCATTTCTTCTGTTTGACCCGGAACGAACCGAAATTCTGATACTGTTGCTGCTGTATGTATTGATGAATCATAATCTCCTAATTCAGCTGTAAAATAAAAATTATTATGAATCATTTCTATTTTAGTAATTGAACTTAATTGCAATATTTAAAAAAAAAAAAAAAAAAATTTCTTACATTGAAGAGCGAGAGCCGATAATTGTATCGCAACATTATGTGGACAGTGAAGTTTGCCCTCCAAAATATCTTGTTTTAATTGTAAAAAAAATTGATATCTAGTTAATTCTTCTCTAAGTGTATTAGGCTCCGATGAATAGAATTTAACTTTAAGCCTCAGTGTATAAGGTGGTCCAACTACAAAAAAATTTATTATTTTATTGTCTATCTAATTAAAACAACTAAAAAATTGCATATATAATAATTACTTTTAATTTGTTTCTTAATTGGTTTAGTAGGATCCAACCAGTGCTGCACATTATTACTATCAGTATACTGCAATCCAAAGTAATCCTTTTCAATCAAATCTAAACTATAAAATACTTGTTCATATAAGTCACTAGCCAAAGCTTTTTTCTGTAATTAAAAATGAATAGATAATAAATAATTGATAAAAAAAAAAAATAATAATGGGTAATTTAATACGATTACTTACAGATAATTCAATAGGCAAGTCAGTACCATCAAGCAAAATAACCTGGCATTGTATAATATTTTTATTACTAAGTAATCGTTGATTTTTAATTTGCGGCGATGCGGTTTGTCCATTGACACCGCGGACTCGTCTTCGTGATAAAAATCTCAACATTTTTATATATTTATTTATAATAATAAATTATTGAGTAATTAAATAAGTACAATTTAATAAATATAAATTAATATTAAAATTATAAATAAAAGGCACAAACATTTCTTCTTATCTCACTACGGCAAGGACCGTTAATTATCACACCATCGATCACTATGGATTGAAATGTCAATGTTCAGTTGTGATTGTTGAAAAAATAAGTACATTGTTGTGTTGTTAATACTTGTCAATGTTTGGTTCCAAACATTGACCATCAGTCTTTCAGATTTATTAAATTATCAGTACTTGAACCAAGTAATAGGCGCTAAAAAGATTAATAAATAAAATTTTAATAAATATTAATAACTAGGCATATAAAAATTATAAATTACAACACTTTCAATAAAACAGTATGTACACAAGCAAGCAACGCGGTGTATGTCACAAAAAATGAACAACAGGCGTCATATTTTCTTACCAGTGACACCTGGTGCTGGAGTTTTTAACCTGTGTAATCATCCACTCGGAGAGGTAGGTGTGGTCTGCGATTAGCTAGCAATCAAATAATAAATTATCCTTCTTATGTCCAACAAATTATGCTGAATTTATATAATTACTCTATCGAATGACAGTTGGTATAATGACACCTCTTTGTCACCTGAATGAATCAATAAATAAAAAAAAAATAATGGAAGATTTTAAATTAGGTAAGCAAATATTAACAGCCAATAGAAACTCTGACAAGTAGTATCCATCAGCCAATCACGTAAATATGCAAATATGCATACTGTTGATAAAATTGATATAATATAATACCACTGGCGCGACTGGCGTTAGTGTTGCTGATGATTTTTAGAGGTTATTAGTCGTGGTCATGGGGGATAAAAATGAAAAATGGTTTTGAGTAGTCGAGAATCCATGTGATCAAGACGTAAGATCGTGAGGCATTAACACAACTACAACTTAATATACATCTTGTTGTAGTAAAAAAAATATTTTTTTTTTTTAGTTATATTTTATACACTTTTATCTGAGAGTTATAGATTGCGTATATTATTTGTATAATAACAATTATAAAGGAATAAATTAACGCAATATTAACAAACTGTACGGCTACTTGACAAAGTTAAATATTTGTTTTGACTAAACAGACATTTATTTTTGGAGTAACGTAAGTAATCATAATATTGTCATTGTGTTGACATCTTATAGATAATTTACATTTGTCAAGCGTTGTTTTTAATTTTATTTTAGTGATTAATATTTATCTATTTTAATTATTTAGAGTTTTTAAATTGTAAAATGGCATTACGCGAATTTGTCGACGGTGATTGTGGTGGTCCGAGTCCATTTACAACTTTGACCTCGCACTTTGTACAAGATCGCGGTTTCCGAGAAGATGGTCTGCATGGTTCACAGGGAGTTCCTATCCAGAGCGCAACACCTAATCAATTGGCTGATGAATTTTTGGACTCACGTGCAATAGTACAACCTCAAACATTCAAAATGAAAGAAATCTTCCAGCAAATTAACGAAATAGACAATAATATGCAACCAATAGCAGCTCCGTTGATACATCAGCCATTGGACCAAGATTCTGTTTGGGCTAATCAATTTTCGCAGAAACGAACGGACTTTTATGTAATCATCCGCATCATTGATATTTATTAATAGATTTAATTACTAATAGACGTGTTGTCATTTTTATACTGACTTATTTAATTAATTAATTTACTAATATTTTTTTTCTTAATAGGAAAGCAATACACAGCAGATATGGTCGGAAAACGAGCAATCAGTCATGCCTTTTCCGCTACGAACTTCGATATTGGGCTCTACGCACCAAGATGCTAACGAACTCGGATTAGGGCAAACATGGGCTGAAGATTATATTGAGCATTCGATGGAGTCAGTAAACAATCCGAGTACTGCTGATTATCCTTCAGCGGTAGAAAACGAAAATCCAAATATCGCCTATTCAAAGTTTATGAAATTTATGCACCAAGAAGGCGAACTACCGGTAGAGAGTCGAGAAAGTTCTAGTGCTCAATTAACTGATAGCAAATGGACAGAAAACTTTATGGAGCAAGAGCCTCAAGCGGAAGCAAAGACTGCAGAGGTTGCAAAAACGCCTGAAGCAAGTAAAAATGATGAAGCAACTACTAGTTCAGCTGAGATTTGGGCTAGTCAATTCTCAGATAATCAATACAAAAAAGGTAAATACAAAACTTACTAATTACTAAGCATGAAAATGAAATTCAGTTCAACACAAAATTACTAAAACTTAGAAATTTAACATTTAAATTTATTTAGAAATAGAAACATATGAGTCAGCTTTTTGGTCAAAGCTACAAGGAGAGTGGGAGGTATTGTCAAAAAAAGAACAAAATAAATCACATCCTTGGATATCTGATTACGAGAGTTATTATGATCCATTTAAAAATTACAAATTTAACCAAGAAAATCCAATGAAAAATGCACCGGATGCTTTGGAGCAAGGAAAACGAAGACTTGAAGCTGGCGATTTAGCTAGTGCCGTACTTTGCTTTGAAGCTGCGGTCCAGCAACATCCGGAGAATCCAGAAGCTTGGATGCTTCTCGGTAAAACTCAAACAGAAAATGAGCAAGATCATCAGGCAATAGCAGCGTTGAAAAAGTGTCTAACTCTCGATACGTCTAACGCAGTAGCATTGATGACACTAGCAGTTGCATTCACCAACGAATCTTACCAGAGCCAAGCGTGCATAACGTTAAAAGAGTGGCTTATTAAGAGCTCCAAGTATAAGCATCTGATACCTCCTCGTCAAAATGTTGACCAATCAGTTCGTAAATCTAGTGTTTCGACGATTCCATTTAATGATTTGCACAACGAAGTTAAAAATCTTTATATACAAGCAGCTCGAATGAACCCAGTGAACGAAATTGATCCTGATGTCCAGATTGGTCTCGGAGTTCTATTCAATTTGTCTAGTGAGCACGAAAAAGCCGCTGACTGCTTTCGTGCAGCTCTACATGTTCGCCCCAACGACTGTCGATTATGGAACCAACTTGGCGCTTCTCTTGCCAATGGACAGAAATCCGAGGAAGCAATTGATGCCTATTCACGCGCTTTAGAAATTGCCCCCGGATTTATTCGCGCTCGTTACAACCTGGGAATATCTTGCATCAATTTATCTGCTTACCAACAAGCTGCTGAGCATTTGCTGACAGCTCTTAATCAACAGGCAGCAGGACGAGGCGTTCAAGGTCAAAGCCGATCCACTGCTGCCATGTCCGACACCATTTGGTCTACTTTACAATTAGTTATTTCTCTGTTACACAAATATCATCTAAATAACGTCATTACTACGCGGTAATTATCAAATATTTATCTAACTTATTATTTATCGTATAAATTTATATTTTTTGCTAATATTTGATATTTATTCTGTTTTCAGGGATCTGGATACATTAAACAAAGAGTTCAAAATTGTCTAACTTTTTTTTTTTTTTTTTTTTTTTTTTTTCTCCCCCGACTAAATGATTTATAATGCATAAATCAAAAATACCATCATATATTATTTCATGATTATATTAATAATAAAATTAAAACAAATTTTTAAACGTGTCTTTTTAATTATTTAATAACATCAACATTATCAACATGGTACTGAAATTGAAAGATATCTGATAATTTTTTTAATTAATAAGTTATAGCAAGAAAAACTTATTTTAAAAAATTCCATCTTTAAAAGCTCTAAAAAATTATAGATTCAATTTTTTTTTAAATAATTTTTTAGACTTAGTTTATTCTTACAGAAAAATCAAAAAATTTTCAAGTGTGCTAATTTCAGTGATAAATATTAAGTTAGTCGACATCTAAGAATTTTTGTAATTTATTTTATTTAAAAATTAAAAAAAAAAATTTCACATGTCGAAAATTTTAATAACTATACGTGCAATTTTTTAAAAATATTTTTTTAGTTCTAATTTAATTAATAAAAAAAAGTCAAAAATTGTTGAACGTCGGCTAATTTTAGTACCCTATTTCAGTGCCATACATCAATCTTTTTCTTTTTCTATTGAATTAGTGTTGCTTATAAGAATAAATATATTTAGAATAAAAAAAAAAAAATTATTATTAAACAATGAAATGTTTTTCCGGTTGTTACAAATCTGTTTACTTTAGTCAGAGATTTTAAAAATTTTTCGGAGACATATGTGCATGCCGCTGAATGAAGTTGCTGCGCTGCGCCAGGTATAGCAGAGCGCAGAGCTGTGTTATTTTCCGATACGAGAACTAGTCGTTGGTTGCGTATCACGCCTTGGATCGTTCGGCTGTAGCCATATTGGCTTGGTATGATTGTCGTGTCAGTGAATAGTGTCGCGACAAAAGTTATTAAAATAATAATACTATTGTTGTGTACCGAAGTGGATATTGTTACAGATAATTATAATTATTAAAATGGAAGAGACTAAAATAATTTATCATATTGATGACGAGGAAACGCCTTATTTAGTTAAATTAACAATATCACCGGAACGAGTGACACTAGCAGACTTTAAGAATGTATTGAATCGTCCGAATTACAAATTTTTTTTCAAGTCTATGGACGATGATTTCGGGTGAGCCACATTTGTCATCCTTGTAATTGTTTATTAACAACTTTTATAATTTTAATTTTTTCCAGTAATTACACCCAGCAATTAAACATTATTTTTTGTAAATAATTATTGTTCAACTACTCTGGGCAGAGCCTGACGTTGAATCAAGTGACAATTCATGGTGCTGCGCTCTGTTCAGCTCTGTTCAGCTCTGTTTTTTTTTTTGTCAATCAATTTTTTTTTCGTTGATAATTCACTTTTTTCTTTGGTAAATTACTTCGACAACCAATTGAGACAATACACTCATTGTTCTACTAGTAATTTTATTTATTTAGCTCTAATTATTTTGGCTGATTGTTTATTCGTTCAATCAGGTCATTCACCCGCCTCAATTGTTGATTACATTAACTCTAAAGAACAGTAAACAGTAGTCAAGATTTATCTTATGTAAATATAATAATGTTTAGTATGTTTACTTATAAATTATTCATTTTTTTTTAACAAAACTTTGTTTATCTACGATAGTATATATTCATTCATTCATTCATTGATAAATTTTTTTTAAATACTCGAATTACTTGTCACTTTGCCTAATAAACATTATAAATATTTTTATTTACCAGAGTTGTCAAAGAAGAAATTGTTGACGACGATGCACATCTTCCCTGTTTCAATGGACGAGTCGTTTCATGGGTAAGTTTATTAATTTTATTTAAAAAAAACCACCATAAAAAATGCCTAATTTTTTTTCAAAAATTAATTAATTAAAATCTATGGATAAGTGATTAAGTATGTTAATTAAAAGTAGAAAGTATAAATTTGTGTGAATTAAAAATAATACCTGAAAGCATGTTAATGCTACGGCCTTTTATTTTTTTTTTTTTTTTTTTTACATATATTTTATGTGTCAACGTGTAATGTTAGTTTTTTATATTTATTTTTTAGTTGAATTTTTCTTCCTGAATTTTCCATGCAAAAATTTCCGGTTTTACTCGGCATCAAAGTAATTTAAAGATATACTTTGTCCGTAGTTATAGGAGACGAAGAGCAAGATAGAAAGAGAAAGAGTAGAGCGGGTGACGACCGTTAACGGTGTGGGTACAGAGTTCTGTGCTCTGTTAGTAGAGAGCATGGGGTGGGTGTTATATTGAGTATATATACATATATACATCTAGATAGATATATAGAGGTGGCTTTATCCCTCTGTTCCATCTTTCTCCCACCTATAACTCAAACTAAAACCAGAGCCAGTCATATAGCACCAGACGAATTCACTAATCTGATGAATGGGCAACCTTTTGATTACTCTCGTCAACCGATCACTTTTTTTATTTTATTTAGCTTACTTTTTATTATTATTTATTTCTTCGGTTTGTATATTGGATCGCGTTTAATCTTTGAGACATCGAGAACACTAAAAAGAAAACGAATTAACCGAGCAGAGCACTAAAAGTTAAATATAAATAATAAATACAGTCAAATAAATTCCTCAATATCCAATACCATTAACATGTCATAGAAATTTATTATTATTTGTAATATATTGTACTTATATTTGTATTTGTATTTATACATATGTATATTTTGATTTTTTAACTATGAATAGCTCGTATCCGCTGAGGGAAGTAATGTATCTGATGGAGCGTCACAGTGTACAGATTCAGTGGCTCATACTGATGCTAAACATGACAGGGTTGATCATGTACCACCAGGTCTCACGAACCGCGGACCACCGACAATGTCACACGACGACACACTTACTGAAACAGAAAGTATTATAAGCAGTCGACAGGGTCATCATCATTTACATAAAAGTTCAAAACATCATGCTGATAAATATGAAAAGTATTCTAAATATAATGGTAGGTTCAAAAAATTTATCTACAAATCTAAACTAAACTTATCTGGACAACTAAATCGATTGAATAAATAATATTATATTTTTAGGATTACGTATAAATGGACATTCAAAACACCGTTCAGGGCACGGTTACGAAACAGCGTCAATATTGAGTTCTGATCTCGAGACATCGACATTCATGGAGTCTGATGACGATGCAAGCAGTCGTATAACATCAACAACTGGACGTCACACAAATATGAGTAGTACTATTGAACGTGCTACATTAGGTTAATTATATTTACAATATTACAAACATAAATATTAACTATATTAATTGATTGAATTAATTTAATCTTAAATAGATTGAGAAAGATCTTACTAACATAAATATGACCTTTGGTTGTCGGTGTGTTGTTTTAGATCGCCGTAGACCTCAAAGACGACGGCGACATAGACTCCCGCCAATGTCTCGTACATCCTCATTCAGTAGTATTACTGACAGTACCATGTCACTCAATATTATAACGGTATCTTTGAACATGGACACTGTTAATTTTCTTGGTATTAGTATCGTGGGGCAAAGCAATAAAGGTGGCGACGGTGGAATATACGTCGGCTCTATTATGAAAGGGTAACTAACTTATTATTGACAGGACAATAATTACCGACAATTATTTATCTCAATGGTTTATTTATTTATTTATTTAATTATACAGAGGCGCAGTAGCTTTAGACGGCAGGATAGAACCCGGTGATATGATTCTCCAAGTTAACGACATAAATTTCGAAAACATGTCTAACGACGAGGCAGTAAGAGTTTTACGTGAAGTCGTTCAAAAACCTGGGTACATAAATAATATCTTGCATTTATTACTATTATTAAAATAAAGATAACTTGAGGTGATAATGAAATGTCATTAATTATTTATTTATTATTTGTTATTTATTAATCCAGGCCAATAAAACTGGTCGTGGCAAAGTGTTGGGATCCAAATCCAAAGGGCTACTTCACAATTCCACGTACAGAACCGGTTCGCCCGATAGATCCTGGCGCTTGGGTAGCGCACACAGCAGCAATACGCGGTGAAGGTTTTCCACCACGTCCACCAAGCGCAACGACCTTGACTTCGACATCTAGTAGTCTCGCTAGTACGCTGCCCGATACTGAACGTAAGCGATAATAATTAATCGATCTCCCCTAAGCTCTACTATTTCATTTGATTTAATTTAATGAGTTTTATTGTGACAAGTTAATTGGCAATATGTTATTAATGACGTACGATTGCAGGACCACTGGAAGAGTTACGCTTGAGTATCAATACAGATATGCCAACGATAGTACGTGCAATGGCCCGGCCGGATTCTGGCCTCGAGATCCGTGACCGTATGTGGTTAAAAATAACAATCCCAAATGCATTCATCGGTGCAGATGTTGTTGATTGGCTAAATACACACGTTGAGGGGTTTATTGATCGTCGCGATGCGCGTAAATATGCATCGCTTATGCTTAAAGCTGGATTCATCAGACACACCGTCAATAAGATAACATTTTCCGAACAATGCTATTATATATTTGGTGATTTATGCTCGACAATGGGCAGCATGAAACTCGACGGCGATACTGTTGGACCCCTGCCACCACCCATCGGTTGGGAGCTTGGAACGTATTCAGGACCTTATGCACCCCATTCCGCTGCTGGATACAGTCCAATGCCCTTTAATTTCACCAATGAACCTACTATATATGGTTATCATCGTGAAGAAAGTATCCACAGTGAGTCAGGTATTTTTCTTTTTATATTTTATCATTTATATTTATATTTTTTTTTATTATTTATGAGTAAAGTTTTTTAATTACCATATCTATCATATAAATTACCTCAGGTTGTTTTATATATTTGCCGTCGGAAAATCATAACATCTTATCATTTCAGATTTTGTCTAATCACTGTTAGTTTAAAATGTAATTTTTTTGACAAGTGTTTTGTGTATATTGTCGATTTTATCAGTGATACCTATGCTTTTCTTTTCACTGATACATAGTTTTTTTTTTTTTTTTTTAAAGAAATTTAATAGATTATTTAATTTTATTTTTTTTCGTCAAAAAAGCTTACAAGTATATATATATGTGTAGTGTTTTATTTGTATAACTTAACAGTTTTATACAAAGGTTTTTTTTTTTAAAGATATGAATATTAGAAAGTAAATTTTAAATAGGTAATAATTACTAATCATTTTCAACATTTTTTAACTAGTATAAACATTTAAATTATCCTTTGGTTTTGACTCAAAAAAGCTTACAAGTTTAAAACGACTGTAAATTAATTATAAACTACAGAACTTGAAACGTTAAAGAGATTTACGTTTGTAAAATCTAAAGATAATTTTCCTTTATTATTTGCACCAGATTATTCATAAATCATTCAAAAAAAATCATCCATAAAAAAATTCAAAAGTCATTTTGAGAGAATTTTTTACTCAGGTTAATTATAATTATTAAAAATTATACAGTAATGTTAATAAAAAATAATTTTTGTTGTGTCCCAGGCGGAAGTAGCGCGGGTAGTGAGCATATTTGCAAAGAGCCAATTCATGACTTAAAATCGTGTTCATCAGCATCTGAGTCCGAACTCCACGTACCACCAACAGTGCCGAACAAAAATTCCGGCAATGGCAACGGATCTAATGGGAAGCGATCCAACGGCAGCCGCAGCAGATCAAGCGGTTCTGAGCAATCGGTACAAACAGGCACTGGCTCGTCGAATCAGCAGAATCAGCAAGATTTATCTGGTAGTAGACAGTCATTTCGAATTGCGATGGGAAATCCGTGTGAATTTTTTGTCGATGTTATGTAGAATTTCTATTTTTTTTTCTTTTTTTTTTTTTTTTAAATTTTATTCTGTTTTCAAGTTATGTACATAATTTTAATTATTCTTCTCAGAAAAGAATGAGGATGTCGTTTTTTTACTCGATTAGATTTTTAGCATGACGTACTTTGGTTTTTTTTTTTCTTCACGATGTTGAATAATATTTTTTGGTCCAAACATCAAAATTAATAAAGTCATTATTAACGAAAAAGTTTTTTTTTTTTTTAAAAACAGTAAAATTGTGTTAATGAATCGGATTTTACAAGGGCGACATTCTTTTATTAATAATAATAATAATTAATTTTAACATGTACTTGTAAATAATGCACCTGTTTTATGCGATGCTTTGTTGATTTCTCACCATCACTTTTTTGGGAATTAATGCACGTTAAGTATTCTTTGAAGCTTGGTATGCTTAATTAACATCAACATCAAACATCTACTCACTTATAATCATTATCATAATACATCAAATAAAAGCATGTACTTGTATTATGATATTTAATGTATGACAATATCTTCTTACATACATCAGAATGTACTCTACACTTTACACACTATTGTTTACTTTTTTTACGCTTATAATATATAGACTGATAATTAACGACAGTCTGGTCGGATTATTATTTAAAAGATACAAATTTTTATTATTAGTATTATTATTTATCTTTTCATTGCATGAGCCATTTAAATAAATAATAAAAAAAATAATCGAATTGCCATTAATTCATTCCATTGCTTGCATTTTAGGATTGTCTACGACAATGGGGCACCTATTTCTTTAAAAAAATAATTATAAACAACCGGACAATTATTTCAACTTACGAACGTATGAATTGTCGTCTGCTACTGCAAAAAGAAAACAATCTTTATTTATTTTTATTTCTTTTTTATACTACTTTGCTACAACATTTATATAAAAAAGTAAATTTAAAAATAAATAATACGAGCTATAGGTATAAGCATGTAATGCTTAACTGATAAATCGTTAACGGGGTATGTAAGGTTTTTATTAATGTAGAAAACAAAAAAAAATATTACATACAATACTTCTATTATATATAGAATTCATCACATTAGATAACGTGCCAAAAGTGGTGTTTATTATCCTGCTGCTGTATACAAGGCATATACAATAACTTTCAAATCAACTGTAAATATATAAAATGAGGATGAACAAAAAATAACGCTCAAAATTAAAAAAAAAAAAAAAGTGCCATCAAACTTTCATACTGACGCGAATAACATTGATAAATTTTTCTATGTCGCCTGAAATTTTAATAAAAAAAATAAAATAAAAAATAAACTTTTTAGAATTGTTTAATATTTATACGAATAGATTAATAAAGTACTGAAAAAAGAAATTAAGTAAATTTATATAACTAATTTTTCAGGATGTACTGACTGTGTCATTGTTATTCCGTTGTTTATTATTTTTATTGTATGTATTAGTTATTATTTTTATTTAATGAATAAAAAATCAGTTATCTGATATTCCAATTAAGTTGCTTATAAAAAAATATTATTTTAATTGTTATATTAACAAAAACGAATAAGCTAATTTTAAATAGTTGTAACTTTATACATAAATATTATATATAAATTTATATATATAAATATATAAATATTATATATTAGTTTTGTCTAAAAAATGAACAAACAAAACAAAATACAAAATGTAAACGAACGTAATCTTAGGTTTTAAATACAATTTCAAGGTATACGAAGAGTTTTTCATTTTTAATCTCCTTATTGTATCTAACTCCTATCAAAATCCTGTGAAAATTTATCGTTTCCTGTTATTAAGAATGAAAAAATAATCAAGAAATTTTCTTCTCTAGTAGAAACATTCCGTAACATCCTCTTACTAGACTCGTACTTGATCTGATTTAAGTACTCTATTATTTTGTTTATATTTTGTTATTTATAAAGAAGATTGATAGTGTAAGAAATGATTTAATTTAATTATTTTTATGTTGTAATTGAAAAATTATGTAAGAATTACCTCTAATAACCTGAGATTCAATAACACAAAATTAAAAAATAGGTCAACCCGTATTAATATTAATTATCTAATGCTTGTGAACTTGTCACTCGAGAAGAACATCCGGGGAAATTAATAGACGTAGACTAATCATTCAGTTTAAAAATCTCATGTCTAATTTTATATTCTACTTAACTGTTGTTGTTATTTCCTCTAAAATGTTTTTGCAACAGAATAATACTAATAACAGCAATTAGGAAAATGTAAAAAAATTTTGCAATTATTTTCGCCAAAAAAAAAAATTAAAATATAATTCTGCGTGACTATGAATAAGTAAATAATAAATTAAAATAATTATTTACTTCAAGGTAGTGTCAAAAATTATTTTTGTCGGTTTAAATTTAAAATTAATCTTCTTGACAGGGTCGCAAATAAATTTTTTTTCTATGATGTATTATATACGAAATTAATAATACTCAAAATTTCCAACGCTATTAATTAAAAAGTATATAAATAATTAATTTTAAATTTTAACAAATTGTGAGGAAAAAAAAATTGAGTGCCCTTTTACACAACAATCTATAAAAACCATTTATTAGAACAAGGAAAAAGTTTAAGACCTTCAGATTTTTTTTGCTCATTAGTCTTACAGAGTATAAATAATTGACTGACTTAATAAGTAAATGAGTCAGTTATGTCACAGAATTCCATGCACTGAATCTTATCTGTTACAGTTTTAAAAAAATCGATTTATCCTTAACGTGACGCATCGCTCGGAAACAATTAAAAATTTATTTTTACAAAAACGCTTACAGTAACTTAACTGTTGAATTAATTTAAGTTATTTTAATTAGATTTGATTTTGATCTCTAAATTGCACACACAATGGTGTTAAAAATATAATACACAGACATGCATTATGTATGTAGTGATGTAAGTAGTAATCAAATGATATCTTATCTCAGTGAGTAACTCGACCTTTAATAGTTCAATCATCAGCTTTTTTACAGCGAGCTTTGTCGTGTCGCTCATCAACTACAACACGTTTAATAGCCATCAGAGACACGCCTCGTTTAATATTCATCACATCACGGTGTTTAGCCAGCCAACTATATACATAATCTAATGTAACAGTACATAATACAATCAACAGTGGCAACTTGGCCGGATATCCCAATGACTTTTAATTAAAACTAATATTTTTAAAGTTAATATTAACTAAACACAGTTAATCTTCCTTGACCCTAAAATTTTACAACCCGTAATCTTATTTTTTCTTCAACACTTTTAATCATCTTCATTATCAAATTATCATAATTATTACCATAATTTAAGTAATCTCCATAATATCCAATCATCAAATCATCATCTTTATCCGTTAATTTTTCTTCACAATGCTCTTTAACAAATTATCATTTATTTGCTGAGTGATTCTTAGTAGAATTATAAAGATAATATTATATTGAGTTTACTATTTACAATGTCGAGTGTTTGTTTAATAAATAATAATAATAATAAAATAAAAAGTCTGATAATTCAAAGAAAGGTAAGTACCTAAGAAATTATTGCGAACTCGTTATAAAACGCCTACTGAATTATTCCTTGTTCTCCAAGATGCATCTCAAAAGAACCAAGAAGAAATAAATAAAAATAAGAAGAATAAGAGCAAGAACAAGAAGAAGTTTAAAAGTAAATAAAATAGGAGGTTTGAATGGAAAAGAACAAGCGTAGGCGTTATGCGTTAGCGTCTGTTGGACATTTGTAACTTATGAATTCGTAACGATACTTTTTACTTTCACTTGTTTTTTTATTTTATTTATAATCAACATTAACACGTCTATGTCCTTGATAAGACTGTCCACGTCCATTACATTATCATAAATATAAACATAAATACTATAAATATAAATATCACCAATACTTACATAAATTCACATTTACTTTACTTACACTTTGGTTCATTTATTCATATAATTGCCGAGCAATTCAATAAATCGGTGCACTGTAAAATATTACTTTTACATTGATTAATCCCTCTGAAATGAAACCAGTCGTAAACGAGGAAATATAAAAAATTTATCATTTTAAAAAATAAAAAGATAATTAAATTTATGATCCTTATCCTTTTGGCAACAAATGACTCATTTGTAATTATTAAATGTCTGAGTTTAAAAGTAAACTTGTAAATACTCATTCAGGCTACCTACAATTAAAAAAATTATCTACATCAGTCGAGTAAAAAACTAATTATCATAATAACAAATAAATAACTAAAGTTAGTATCATCATTATAAGTATAATGGGTGTATTTTTATCTTACCCGAAATTTTTAATAGCTTATTGGCGTGATTTGAGCGATTTTTTTTATTTCTTCAGGTGGCGAAAAACGAAATCTGGAAGAAGATTAATTAATGTAAATAAATAAATAAAACGAATGGCTTGTTACACTTAATACTTATATTTGTACTTAATATCTCTTGATATGCGGGGGTACTGAGACAGAGTAAGATTTGTGGTTGGTGGGGATGAAAGGAGCTGCTGAGAGACGTCGTCGTCATCGTCATCGTGTCTACCGTTTGGGTACTCTCCAGAATATATGCCTTGTCTGTTTCTTGAAGAAACATTTCATCAGTCGTAACCAAGTACTCGAAAGTTTAACAACTAACTTATCAGTTAAACCTGTAACAATTGTACGAATGTAAATATATATAACATATATTATATATATTACTAACAAATACAAAGGTAATAACAGTTATTAAAACTTATCTTCATCCGAATATTAAATTAGTTAGCTAAGTAAAATAAAAAATAATAACTTAAAAAGTAAATATTTTTCTTAAAAAATAAGTTTTATCACTTATTATTATTTACGCTGAGAAATTACACGTGTTAAAATAACATCTCGAATTTTAAAAGCCAAGAGGCACTTCTAGTCTGCTTTACTTGTTCACACTAACTCTTGCAATGTGATTTAAATATAGTCTAAATTGTGCAGTTCGAATTACCTTACTCACTACCATTATATATTATTATTACTATGCACATATATTTGAATATTTAATCTTAAATATTGCGAAAAAATCCGACAATAATTACACAAATTATTGTTTTAGTGCTTAAAATCTATTTGTTTATTTTCTTTTTTTTTTTTTTTTTTTTGGTGAATTAACTAGTGATTTAAAATAATTGATGACAAATGTATCACTAGATGGTTAAAGTCTATTAGTTAGCGGAAAAATTCCATTACTATTTAACTATATTCGTCTATTTATATCAAAGCTACTGGTATGTGTATTAATTGTTGCGTGTGACGGAGCTTGAAATAAATAATACAACAAATTTATTTCTAAACACACGTAACACGTGCGTATTACGTGCACTTGTTTGAGTGTTACATAGATAAATAGATTGTTAGTTAAGCTTTTAATAACTAATACTCTAATACAAATAAGTTAATCATCATTGTTATTATTGCCGTCATTAAGGACAAAATAATTATCAATAATTCTAGTAAAATCATGTGAGTTCATCAACTAAACTGATACTTATAATAGTGTGAGAATCAAAACCATAAAAATCCGCTTCATAACGGTGAAGTTTATTGAAGAAATAAATAAATTGCTGATTTATTAAGTGCTAAGATAATTGGCAGTTCTTTTTCTTCATGAGTGGTGTATAATTGAAGAATGCTGCAGATAATAAAGATAAATTATTCGCATTTATAATAATCACACTGTGGGCAGCTATTATCATGTGTAATCACTGTTATCAAATGTCCCAAATTTATAATGGGAATGGCCAATAATTTTTTTTTCGTTGTGCAATGTATGTTTATTTGTTTTCATTTAGTTTCATTTGTCATTGTACTTTACCGTGGAAATTTTTGTCATGGCCATCGCCCGTAACTTACAAGATATCCTTTTTATGATCATTAAACATGTATTTCTTTTAATCTTTGATACTATTTTCATGTTATTTTTTTTTTATTGCAGATGGAATTGCATACAAATCCAAGTATTAAAAAAAGTAAAGATATTAAACGGGGAGCCGAGACAATATTCGAAGATTCCAAAATCAGCATGTAAGTTTTTATAATTATTAACTTAATTAAGTTGCGAGCATTAAAAATTTAAAACAAACATTTCTATTTTTTACTTATCCTTATCTTCTTAAGCTCATTAAAATTAAATTTTTTCAATAACATCAATTACATTGTTACCTTCATTATTAACATAATTTATAACCATGAAGTTTAAAATACATTCTACTTGCTTCAAGTATAACCGCAAAAGTAAATATCGAAAATTTTATTAAAAAATATTCACTTCCTTATTAGAAAAATAATAAAACGTGTTTAAATTTATACTTACAATAAAAAAAAAAATAAATAATTGATTAATTTTCAATTCAATAAATTGAAGAAATAATAGTCGTCATAAATTTGAAGGTTAACATATCTTCTGAAAGTAATCACCAACTATCTGAAAAAAAGTCAAAAAGTTTATGTTAATAATAATAATAATAATAATGATTAAAAAAAAAAAAAAAATGGTTAATTACTAATAAATATTTACTTCCATTAAAGTATTGACGACAATTATGGAGTATTTCGATCAAATGATCCAATTATGTCGCTGGGAAATTCGACGGTTAATTCCAACAATGCTTCTGATCATCCGATAGGCAGCGGGCATCCTACGTCGTAAGTGGCAATAAAAAAAATAATTACAGTAAAATAAAACAGCATAATAAAACAATTATTATTATTATTTATTACTTAAATGAGTTAATGAAATGATACCGAAAAATACCCGGTAAAATATTGCATGGTTATCTATTGAATAGATAATATATAACCGATCGAGGATTAGAAGCGATAAAAAAAAAAATGAAATATTTATTGGAGTAAGGGTACAACTAATCAAAAAGTTATCTTAGGTATTGCGAAACTATGATGCACTTATTCAAAGGAAATGTTGGTTCAGGAATATTTGCTCTTGGAGATGCATTTAGAAATGCCGGATTGTTTCTGGGTCCACCACTCACGATATTTCTCGGCATCATCTGTGTACACGCGCAACATATCCTCGTATGTTTAAAATAAAAAAAAATATCGACAAGTTTTTTTTTTTCTTTTATTTTTTTTTATATTTATTATTATTTATTGTCGTTTATTGTTGCACGACAAGTTTAACTACAATGTTAGATTGAGCTGTGGCAGACTAAAACTTTTATCAAAATTTAAGTTTAAACTTTTTTTTTTTCAACCTAGTACCAACTTGCGTCACGAATGCAAAAATTTTTCTTAATGTTCACAGGGAAGTTTGTTAACATATACATGCATAGCGCTTGATGCTTGACTCACGTGTAATTTTCTGACATTCAACTTTATATCCAGTTTGTCACGAGATTGTGATCAACGGATATTAACAAATACAAGAAATGAGTTTTGTAAATAAATACAAAATGTGAGTTATCTTTTTTTAAGAAGATTAAAACAAAAATAATAAATAATTATCAATTTATTAACTTGTGTATAATTTTTGTACAAAGTTTTAGTTTCCCATAGCTCGATAAATAAATAAAATAGACTTAATTAAAAGTGATTGCATACCTTAACCATGTAATTTTAAAAATATAAAATGAATAATTTTATAAAATAATTATTTGCAGATTGAATGTAACGATGAGGCATGTAAACATGTGGGTAATAATGTTAAGACAGATAGTATTGGATATGCCGGAACCGTCGAATTATGTTTTGAAATAGGTCCACAGCGATTACGAAAGTTTTCCGGACTAATGAGGTGTGCCAAAATAAAAAATATATATATATATATAAATAGAGATCTATTTATCTAGTTATTTATAAAATAATTATAATTAAAATTATAACAACAACATGAACTCTAGATTGTAATAAAATTAATTTCAGAAAGATAGTGAACCTATTTATATGTGTAACGCAGTTTGGTTTTTGCTGCGTCTACTTTGTCTTCATATCAACAAACATGTTGCAGGTAATAAGAACAAAACTAAGCTCAGTATATAATATATTAAATACTTAGTATTAAGTATGATCATGTGCACAAAACGTGATATTAATTTATTAAAAACAGGTTTTAGACCAGTATGGATTCCATTTAAGCGTCCACTGGCACATGGCCATTGCTTTGCTTCCGATAATGATGAGCACGTGGATAAGAAACCTTAAGTACCTGGCTCCAGTTTCTTCTATTGCTAATTTATTGGTAGTCGCTGGATATGTCGCGACCGTTTACATTATGAGTTACAACTTACCGCCAGTAAGCGAGCGTCATTATGTCGCCGACTACCAATCAATTCCTCTCTTCTTTGGCACTGTTATCTATTCATTTGAAGCTATTACGCTGGTAAATAAACACCAATACACTTTATATATCTATACCGAAGATATTTTTAATAACAGATTAAGAAATTTCGTAGCAAGAATTTAACTATGACATAATTACAATTGATTTTATTTACAGGTGCTGCCGCTTAAAAATGAAATGAAAAATCCACGGAAGTTTAGCAGTCCTCTAGGTGTCCTTAATGTTGGTATGGTATTTGTCGCTGGAATGTTCGTAACAATGGGATTCCTGGCGTATCTTCAGTATGGTGACAAAATAGAGGGATCTGTTACGCTTAATCTTAATTCTGAAGAAATGTAATTAAATATTATATTTTCATTATCTTCTTTAACTTTCACTCTTACTCATTCTCATGACCTATCTTTGTGTCTGTATTCTTGTCTGAACCGCTATCACTCTATGTTTATTTATTTATTTTTTTTCCTCTTTAGATTGCCACAATGTATTAAAGTCGCTATATCTTTAAGCATTATGTTTACGTATGCATTGCAATTTTACGTGCCCGTAGCAATTATGTGGCCGGAAATATTAAGAAGATATGGTCCATTCCGTCATCCAGTTATCGTAGAAACTTGCTTCCGATCAGCACTTTGTTTGGGAACATGTAAGTAGTAATTTACATAATAATTCACAGTCTATTACAACGTTATTATATAATGAAAAAATAATTAATCAAAATGAATGAATAATTTATTTGTTTTTTCTTCAGTTATACTTGCCGAAGCAATTCCAAACCTTGGTCTCTTTATATCACTAGTCGGTGCATTGAGCAGCACGGCGTTAGCATTACTATTTCCGCCAATTATTGAAATAGTAGTACGCTCACAAAATAATACTCTTAGTAACTTTAAACTATTTAAAAACTGTTTTATACTACTGATAGGATTTCTTGGATTTATAACTGGTACATATGAAAGTATAACAGCTATCATAAAAGCATTTAGTAAAAAAGATTAGTTTAGTTTAGTTAATAAATTTAGACATTATTTAAATAAAAAAATTTTTTAAAAAAATTATAAAAATGTTTACTTTATTGAAATTATAAATTTTTTTAAATAATAACTTTATATTAATCTTTAAATGGATTCACTTTCACCATTTCCATCATTATTATCAGTAGAGTCATTGATATTTGCTTTACGTGAGAGATAATAGCGAATAAAAGTACCGAATTTTATGACTGCACCTATTGTTGTTTCAACAATCATTTCACTTTCAAGCTCTGAAGATCCATCACTTTTGGCTGGATAATCTGTAACATTTAATTTTATAATATTATTATAAATTACCACTGCCTTAATATAACAGGTAATTATTTATAATTACAGAAAAGTATAAAATTAAAATAAAATTACGTACATAATTTTATCGATGAAGCGCTTGAAAATAATGTACAAGGTGGTTTACGTACTACTCTTAATGATAAACAATCCAGTTTGACAAGTATCTGTAATAAATATTTACATTTATCATTGATTATTGTGATAAGTTGATTTACCGTAGAATAAATACGAGTTCATTAGCTTTTATTACCTCAACGAGCTCTCGAGTATGATAAGGCTGTAGTGCTGGCACAAATTTTGTTTGCACTTGTGATAATGCAATACCAGGGTGCATTAAACAGTGTGATAGTATTGCTCCAAGCATTTTTTCTAATATCATACGATTAACCGTCCCGTCGATTCTTATCCATGGTCTTACTACCACGTTTATTTTTTCTGCTGAACTGTAATCAATACATAATTATTTTTTTAATCAAAATTTTATCTATGATATTGGAAAAGTACTAAGTGATTTACTAAACATTTATCTACAAGTATTTCTTTTCATTTCTCTAAAATTTTTCAAGGTTTCAAGCTGACTAACTCGAGCTAGATAGAAAACAAAGTAAAAGTGATAATATAGTACACGTATAATTATTTTTATATTGCGCAAATAAATAATATATTTTACTACCTCACATGTAATACTTCACGGAGGTTAATATCCGGCTACAATAATTGTAAACTAGAGTTTTACTTTAATTTCAAATTAATAAATAAATTTTATATCATTTCTTCTTTCGAAAATCAATTATAAAATTAATTTTAATTTTGGATAATTTTAAGAGTATAAAAATATTGTAAAAATTATAATCGAAAAAACATATCAGCAAAAATAAAAAAAAAAAAAATAAATGTTAATAAATAATAAAATATAACTTACCTGAAATCTAAGTTTTTGATTGCAGAATCAATATCTTGAGTTTGTAATAAAAATCCAACATTTCCACGAGAACTCTTTGGATAAAGTACTTTAACGTCAGAATTTTTTGATTCTTTTGAAATATTCTCATGATTATCATCAGCATTTTTATTTACAGTTACATCTTCACCATGATTATTTTCATGATTAGTATTTTCGTGATCTTGATTGGCATTGTCATTGTCATTGGTAACATTATCATCTTGAACGGTCTTATTACTCAGATGATTATCATCATCGTTATCATTCTTATTATCGTTACTATTAGAATTTTTATCATTATCGTCAGAATTTTTTGGTACTTTAGAAATATTCTCTTGATCATCATCAGTATTTTTATTTACACTAACATCTTCATCATGATTATTTTCATGATCGTGATCGGCATTGTCATTGTCATTGGTAACATTATCATCTTCAACGGTCTTATTATTCAGACGATTATTATCATCATCGTTAGAATTTTTATCATTATTATCATCATCATCATCATCATCGTCAATACAATCACCGAAATCAACAACTTTAGTAATCTTCTCAGACAAATATGTGTCTGATACTTTAGTAGACTGGGCGTAATGATTCGTAGAGTTAAAAACATAAACACTTCCGGGTGGGAAAAGTGGCAAGGATTCACGCAGTAATCGTAAGATTTTAATCGACTCAACATACCAAGGCTCGGCGTAAGAATAATGAATGTAATGCATCTCCGTAACACCAGACCGCAAAAAGAGACGGCAATCAGTCATGTAAGAAAGAATATCATACAATTTTTCCTCGAGTACTCGGTAAAATTTATTGGTCAATTCTTTGAGAGTTGCTCCAGGTTCACGTTTATTGCGAACATAATCATAAATAAGATCAATCTCAAAAGACTCAATTGTCCCTTGAATCTCAAGATCTTCCTTAACACTCTCGTAATCTGGCCGATTTTTCGGAAAAACTGCAAATTTGTTCAAATCTTGAACAACATTTTTGTAAGAGTCATTTGTCAATAAAAATAAATTCTCTTTAACTTTGTCGTCGATAACAAAATGTGGATTAGTGATTATCTCTTTATCAATCTTGGGCATGGAATAATATAGTCTAAATTTACTTACAGCAAAATATTCATGGGCGTGATGGCTATCTGGCAAATTATGTAATTTTTCATTTAACTCGGCGCGTACTTTAAGCAACGCTATTCTTGTAAAATTTTTCCGCGTCTCACCAGTATCTTCATCTCGAACACGACTTTGGTTTCTTGATTCATGACAATAATTCACATTTGCAATGATATCATTAACCATATTCGAAACATTTCTTCGGCTCTCTGGCTCTTCATTAACGGGGTCAAACTCTTCAATATTTACAAACTCAAAGCCATCATCTTGGTCAGTTCTTCCGCGTTTTATGGCTGCACGTCGTATAGACTGCTTAGTTATCCGCTCATCATCAACGTCCATAGGAATGTGCTCATTAACGATCCTATTCAGCTCATCAATCGATGTGCCCATCGTAACTTGGTTAACCAAGTTCAGTAAAGCTTCACGCGGATCCTCTTCTTGGTCATCACTGCCTAGATTTTCTGGCAAATCGTTCAAGTGTCCTAATTTTGTCTGTCTAAATGCTTCATGCATATCATTTTCAATGAACGATGACTTGTTATTGTCAATATCACTCTTAGTAATTATTATTTCCCGACCGTCTACTGAAGTTTTAAACTCTAATTCATCGTCACTGTCATCAAGTACGAATTGACAACCTCTGACTGGTCTTTGGATATTACTTTGACTGCTGCTATTTAGTACCAATCCACTGCTACTATTGCTACCAGTATCAGATTTTTGCCAGCCCCAAGAATCTTTCCTTAACGGATTTTTCTTAGTAGCTTTAACAGCAACAACAGAAATATCTGCTGGAGAATCATCATTCTCAGACATATCTTCTCTCTGCTCCAAATCCTGTGATTGCTTTTCCTTATCTTGTCCTTCTCTGGTTTCGGCATTCTCCAAGCTACACAAAATATTCTGATACCTTTCAGCGACCTTCTTAAAACCCGTATCGTGCTCTGGCATTTCCTGATCAAGAACAATAACGTAATCAGGTATTTTGATATTAAAATCAAGATTTTGGTTTGCCAAAAATTCCTGGAGTCCTAAAATTACTCCTCCAGTAGGGGAATCAAATTCGACACCATGTTCTGAACCAAGAGAATTGCTCGCGTAACCTTCGATCAATTTTTGTAGAAATACTTGCGCTTCATTGAAAATTTCCAGTGAAAATACCGATTGAAATATGTAGTTGTATTTACAGCTCAGTTGAATCTGGGAGCTGGTCATTGGCATGCAGCATCCATTACCAATTCTTTTCAAGACTGATTCAAATTGCTTTTTAATGGATACTGTTTTGTCATTTTTTATTTGGGTTATTGCGCTTTTCAGTAAAAATTCTGGATACTGCTGGTAAATACGATACAATTGATACGTCGACGAACGACGATCTTTACCAGAACAGATAGAGCTGAAAATAATTGAATTAATAGTAGAGGAATGGATGTCATTTATGTTACGCACTGGTTTAGTGAAGCCTTCCTCCGGTCCTTGGGGATGACTAATCTTAAACAGAAGATGGAATTCCCCGAGAGTGGCTGGCTGATGTGTCGATTCAGGAGGATCTTTCTGAGAAAGATGATGTTTTCTTGCCACATAATGGCAAATAGCTTTGAAAACACTGGTTATTTTCTCATCATGCTGATGAGGTTCATAATTCGAACGAATAACATCCACAATATTGTGATACTTTTTCCTGATATAAGGATTTTCTTTGAGCTCTTCGACACCTAAAGTAACAGCCAAAGCCACCTGGGGTCTTTTATAAATGTTAAACATCCTCCGTTGGCACGCGCGTGAAGTTTTGTTGATAGAGGTTTTGGAGTAAAATTTCAAGACGTCTCTGATCACAGAAAATGATAGAAGTTGGGCCCGAGGATTTGGGCTAAGATACACCAAAACAATTTTGCATATCGAAAGAATGTGATCTTCTCGTGCATCCCAATTGACTCGTTGCATTTTCATGTTTTGAAGAGCTTGGTGATCGACCTCGTCATAATGAACACGCTTCCGCTCCTGGCGCTTCCTGGGCAAAACTTTTCTTACAATCTTATCTGGTCGATGCGTAACGGTGCTCACGACCAACTTAGGCGGCGCAGGATTAGGGTTAACTTTCGGTTTCTTGACCGGCGGTTTATTGGCAATAATGGTTGTTGGCCCTGTAACTTTTTTCAACCCCTTAAACTCTGTATACTTGAGAGGCTTGACCTCGACCTTCGCCAATCGGGCAGTACGTTCTTTATCCGATTGCTTTTTCATCGACCTCAGAGACACACTTGAGTGGAAGTTCTCCCAGTTCCAATTGCGTTTAAGATGCGAAAAGAAAGCCGAGTCAATTCCCGCTGCACCTTTTCTGTCTCCCGGTAATATTCCTAAATCCTGTGAGACAACTTCATTAGGAAGTACCTGTTTCAAACATTGAATCATTTCCGGTTTTTTAGTCAGATCTTCCAAAGTTATTTCCGTTCCTTCGACAGCTTGACGGCCTCCCAATCTGGTACAAACGCAAATTTGCCACATGTCGTACCAGTAATTCTCAACAGTTTGTAACCTGTCGAAAGTGTAACTCTGAACGGAATATTCTCTCTCTTCAATTTTGTGGTACCCGGGAGCTGAGGGCGTCGTATCTACCAATTGACTCCTCGTATTTAGATAAATAAAAACATGATCTTTTTCTTTGAACTTCTGAGGGCCATATTGTACCAGCCCGATGTAGGCAAGCCGCTGAATAGTCTCGATAATGGAATAAATATACTTACGGTTCCTGAAAATCTGACTGCGAATTAACATTGGGAGGTCTTTCATCAAATAATGCTTTCTAATTGGGTGGTTGAGGTAGTAGTTCAAAGCTGGGAGGTAAAACGGAAGCTTGTGAATTTCCAGGAAGATAGAGAGTGGTAAACGAAGAATGATATCGGAAATCATAGCCCATCCTCTTTCCCAGGTACTGTGCTGCGGCAGAGGCGGAATAAACATTCTCCAGTCAACGTCTCTGTAGTAAATTTCGGACATTTCTTCCGCCATTTTTTCAGATATCTCATTACCTTCTGCACGTAGTCGCTCGATCTGGTCTATCTTTGACAGATTTTCTCCCCTGTACTCGTAAATCAAGTAAAACAACAGCTTGTGCATTATTTTCATGCGGATAAACTTCGGCTTGTAACCGTAATCTCTTCCGGCCTTTAAATCAAATTTGACCTCAAGGGTCGGCACTTTAGGATTATCTTTCTCATTAGCTACCAGATCAGTAGAATCTGCGTTGGTAGGGTCCGTAGACTCCGCAGTCGTTTCATTGGAAGTTCCCGATCGGTTGTTCATTTTAACAACCTTCTTAGTGGGAGGCATTAAACAGAACTTTATTTTAGCCTGCTCGACCGCTGATTGAATTACCGAGTGATTTACATTAATATTCTTGTCACATATGAAGAAGAGAACTTTTTTCCTGCCATTGCCGCTCAGGGTCAATTTCATGTTCTTGACCAAATTATCACGCGCTAATCGCTGTAACATCCTCATCAATGACTTCTTGTCCATTTTAACATCGATTCCTTCACTTTCCTCATGTTGGTTTATCATTTTCATCAGCTTGGAGGGGTCATCGACAACTTTGTGCTCTTTTACCATTGTTATTATCATATTTAACCTCTTGAGCATCCGATAAGAGTAAGCGGTTGACGTTGTTGTTGCGTCAATTATCTTTTCGTCGTCATCGTCATCAACCCAAGAATTATCGTAATTGTCTTCTAGATTATAACTCTCTTCTGGATTATAACCTTCTGTATTACAGTTTTCTGGATTATAACCTTCAGCATTATAGTATTCTTCCGGATTATAACCTTCGTCGTAATATCCTTCTGGATAATCCTGATTGTAATAATTATCTTGATTATAAAATCCAGAATTATAATCTTCAGGTTCGATATTAATTACCGCATTCATTTCAGTATTCGCTGGTTGCTCGTGAAACAAGTTACTGCTTATTTTTATTCTTTTTACATTTATATCTTCATTACTTAAAGATTCATCCGGATGAATACGTTTGCGAGAATTATTTTCGCCATCCAATATATTTGAATCAATTCGTTCGGGAAGAATATGATCTTCAGGATGCAAAGCAGGACTCACCACTGTACATTCCGATTCATGATTTTCAATATTCGGATTTGGTTCTAAATTGTCTGGAAGAATGCATTCTTTAGTATCCACAGAATTTGACTTACTTTTTCCAGAAACGCACTTTTCACCCACAGAACTAACAGCAATAGCTTCTTTTGGCTTACCATTCTGATTTTTCGCAGATTTAACTTTTCTTTTTTTACATCTCCAACGGTTAACACAAGAGATTGAAGATAATCTCGATAAATCTAAATGAGCGACATTAAAAAATCCAACTTTAAAGTGACTACGCTTCTGAACGATACTTTTATTTTTTACCTTTGAGTACTTATTCAATACTTTATTGGCAACCGAAAATAAGTGATAACGATCAACATTGATTGTTTCTAATTTTATCGGAGTGTTTACAATTTCCATTTCAATATTTAAATTACACTCCTTAGCCGTCGGACAATTTATCGTAGCTTCAATACAATTTTCTTCAGCAGCATTTTGTTGAGAATTTCGCGTATCGAATTTAATATCACCAGAAATAATTGTCTCAGTCGCTTTCGAAATTATTTGGCCTTTGGTCTCTCCAAAAGTTTGTTCCTCAGAAAAATCTTCGATCTTATCAGCGTCATTTGCATTAAAAGTATCAACATTAACAGTTTCAAAGTCATTAACAATAATATTTGGATCATCAATATTCTCCTCACGAGCCGGATGATATTCAATAGCAGGAGTAGTTTCAACAGTTCTATAATCAATACTAGTAATATTGAGACTATTATCACTAGAGCCAAGAGGATAAAAGAAATCCATTGCCGTAGTGGCATTAGGCCTAGCAACTTCATTTAAAGTCTCTTTGCGCAACTTATTCATTTTACGAATCTCCGAATTAAATTGTTTGCTAATCCTACTGCGTTTTTCATATTTTTTCGACACAAATTTACTGACCCTCTGTCTCCCGGAAAAGTCCATATAAGTTCCAATAGCATTCAGCTTCGACAAATTCCTTATTATCGTTCGTGATTGCAGCTTAGTCATACCCATTTGCATGCCAAGATCTCGCTGACTAATACCGTGGACATTAGCACGCTCCACGATGCTGTTAGCTTGCTTCAAAAGCGGTTCATTAAGAAGTTGATTAGAAACATCAAGATCATAGCAATCTTCGTCATCAACCATGTCTTCTTTATTCCACAGAGTGTTGGCATCTACCTTAGGATCAAGTAATTGCACCGCCTGGATTATCTTCTCCTTGGACGGACATCCCTTGCGTTGCCACTCAGAGTCAAGTGCGTTGGGATATAATTCTCGGTACCTAACTTTTAAATCAGCTCTGGCGACTTTCTGAAAAAAAGAAGTTTTAAACAAACGCTTGATACTATGTTCAATTTGCAACTCTTTTTTTATCTCCCGATAATCCATCAGATAATTTTCACGACTCTTCAGCATCTCAATAATCCTCTCAGCCAAAAAAACCATCTTAGGTTTGCGCTCGACGAAAAAACGCGGTAAATGCATCAAACTTCCAGCACTCCCATGTCCTGATGTCTTTTGATAGTGCGATTGCTTTGTTATCAGCTTGTGCTTTAGCAGCAACTTTCGGTAGTAAAATAATGTCTTTGGATCTTCATTTAGAACACTCAAACTGTTCTTACCCTGAGTGACTTCTCCATGGTACCGAGATCTTCCGACTCGTTCCAAAAAACAATATTGAACAACACTCAGCTCCAACGTCGGGCTAACGCTGTCTTCTAATAAAGCTTCCTGTCTTAATTCTTGGGAGGCAACGATCACTAAAGCCGCACCGTACTTTTCGCTAGCTTCTTGCAAGCTTACAGAATCCATGTTGGTAACCAGCTTGCGTGTGTGATAGCTTTTGCAAGAGCCTTTGATACCGTTTTTGACGTCATCAACTGGGTAGTACTCGTAAATATCATCTGGAATGTCGTCTGGTTCGGTTATAATTCCCAAGTCAGGGTCTACGTACTCGTACCGGTCGTAAATAATCAGCGGAGCTCTTGGTACTTCTAAAATGTAAAAATGTATTCCTCGGGTTGATGTACAAATTGTCCATACCTGTTCTTTGAATGCTGGAGGAAACTCGTCTTGAGTTTGCAATCGTGCACCCAGTCTGATCCATAATGTGTCTAATGTTATTCCATCTAGACCTTCTAACGCTACTTCGTCAATTACTGAATTTACCAGATTTGCTGATGGCGCAAATACTGAAGTGTCTACTCGGGTTAAATGCATCCCTTTTAATTATTATCAATTTTTTTAAATAATATAAATCTAAAAAAAAAATGTTTATCATAATTTATCATTTATTTTTACTTACTTATTTTGATTAAATAATTTTTATAATAAATAGTTACCTGATTTATTTAATAAATATTAATAAACATAATTACTGTTAAAACTAACTATTATTTATGACAATCAATACTTTTGTTACATTATTATAAACAAATTATCTCTAATAGCACTAAACACATGAGTTGATGCAATATGCAATAATAAATGAATTGAGAGGTTAAGTATTTACTTTTACTGTGCCGAGTTGTCTGATGGTATTATTACAGAGAATGACACACTCTAAAGTTAGCGGTCACTTGACTATTTTTTAATTTTTTTTAACAAATAAATTTGATCTAAAAAATTATTTTTAAAAAATTGGATTTTCAATTTTTTTAAATTTCTACAATTTGTCAATTTTTTTTTTGCCATAATTTATTTGTTACAAAAATTTTTTAAATTTTTAAATTATTTTATTAAAATAAGATAATGCTGAAGTTAGCCGACGTTTTTAATTTAAAAAAATTTTTTCATTCATTAAATAATAACTAAAAAACATTTTTTTGAAATTGTTATTATAATTTTTCAAATTTTTTACAAATGAAAATTTTTTAAAATCATTTTGTAATAATTTTATCAATAAAAAAAATTCTAAGAATTTTTAGATGTCGGCTAACTTAATTTTCATTGAAATTGAGTGTTTTACAAAACTGTTACCATATTACATTTACAAAAATAATTGCTTTTTACTCATTTTTCTTTGGTACACTCTTAGTTATTTATAAGTACACACCACTCTCTACACTACATTTGACCAATAATATATTTAATATTGTTTAAAAAAATAATAATTAATGAAAATATTCATATTTAAGTAATAAAAAATATTATAATACGGAAATAAGCAAACAGTTGAAAATTTTTTCATTTTTTTCGTTAATTAAATTAGAACTAAACAAATATTTTTAAAAAACTGCTCTTTTTTTCGAATCTTCTACATGTGAATTTTTTGTTTTTATTTTTTTGTAATGAGATTTTTAATAAGAAAAATTCTAAAAATTGTCAGATGTCTGCTAATTTTTTGTATTCATAATTTAAATTCCATTAACACATTTAAATATTTATTTGTACAAAAGTTATTTACATCTTACGATACTGTTTTCAATTTTATTCCTCTAATAAACTTATTTTTTATCTGACTCAATGATTAATAATTTTATTAAGCTATCTAAATAATCAGATTCTAGATCATAAGACAGTAAAAGCATTGTGATCTGTGAAGCTGCATGTTTTGTTGCCAGCAAAGAGTTAATCAACTCATCATGGAATGCAAGCCTGAAATCATAAATAAAAATAATCAACTTAGCCAATAATTATAATTTATATTAAACTTACATTTTAATCATGAGAAGACCTACGACCACCCATTCGTTTGTCTTGAACACAATATTTTTTGCAGTGAGATTAAATGTACTGACTATCAATTTGATAGCGGTAATACGTTCCACTGTATAGTCATACTCGATACCCCCAGGATATGAAAGTGTTGGCAGAAGATCTGGTATCCTGAAAACAGATAATCAAATGTGAAAATTTCAACCGTAAATGTTTAACTCAAAATCATTGGATCTACTTACACTTTATCGAGCTTTTCAAGGAGAAGTCTTCTTCTCATCGCATTTGGTGCCTGATCATCAGTCAGCGGTATCACAGTATCACTGACAGGAGTTTCTACCACAGTATCATTGACAGGAGTTTCTATTTCTATATTGCCTTTGAAAAAAGCATTCACTTTAATTACTAGGTCATTAGCTTGCTCTTGCAGGACCTCGAAATGTGGAGCAGGTCTCAGATCTATTGGAGCACTAGTTTCTGGCTCATCCAGATCAATGTCTAATTTATCAAGCCTTTCACACAATCGCGCATATCTCTCTTGGTTTTTAATATTTTTAACGATACTCTGCTTCTCTGTCTTCTCTCCAAGAAGAAATTTAATCGTATGAGCAGTTATTAGTTCTCTGAAATTTTTTTCGAGCCTCTCTGTTAATGGTTCACTAAAAGGTCTCTGTGTTTTTTGTCTTTCTCTCTTTACGCCAGTATTTGAATCACTATCATTAATATTTCTTTCTCTTGTAATTTTACTAGAAGATTGAACAGAATTATTTGTTAAATTATCACTTCTTACTTTGACTTTATCTCTGAATTTAACAACTTTTTTTAATTTATCTGTTAAGCTATCGATATTGTCTTTTATTTTTCTATCTTTAACATTCAGATTTTTACGTAGTTTTTTATCTTCATTGTTCAATTTTTCTTCATCTCCCTCATCATCTTCCCTGTCTACCTCTTCTTCATTACCATTTTCTCTGTCTAATTCTCCATCTTCATTATCATAATTGATTTCATTGTCTTCCGACTCTTCATCAGTCTGACAATCTGTTTTACTACCTTTAAATTTTTTCTTAGGCAAATCATCACTAGTGAACTGAATGCCGGCAATGTTTATCTCAATCCCCGGAGTAGTTTCATCCCTCTTAAGAGTATTCTTCTCCTTAATTTTAAACATAGGAATTTCTTCATAATTCCTCAGCCACAGCGGACTTGTCAACATCTGCAGCAAAATATAAGTCATCGCGCTGTGGCAAGTAAAGCAGCAATAATTTTTCATCTCCTCAATGTTATAAATTTTGTTTCTCATTGCTGATATCGAGTACTTCTTATTGACCACCTTCGTTAAAGGATTGTCACACAAAACATATCCGCATATTTTAATTATCGCTCTTTCTTCAGCAACATCTTCCATATGCGATCGATTGATATGCTGCAACTGTAACAATAAGTAAAATAAAACAATTACTTTCCGATATTTAAACTAAGGTACTTGATTCTGGAAAAAAAAAAAAAAAAAAAAAAAAAAAAAAAAAAATAATTTACATTATCCAGCATCCACTGAACGTCTACTTGAGGTTCTATAAGTTTTTCAACAATCGACAATGCTTTTGCATCAGTTTCTTCTTTTTTCTTCAATAAAATAGCTGTTGGCATAGATCTAAATAAAAAAAAATTATGACAGTTGAAAATTTTTTGATTTTTCTTGAAAAATAAAATAGGTTTAGAAAATTATTTTTAAAAGATTGCATTTATAATTTTTTAGATGATACTGAAATCAACAAATATCTGACAATTTTTTTAATTTTTATAACAAATTAATTATAATAAAAAAATATTTTTGAAAATATGCATTTATAATTTTTTTTTAATTTCTACATGTGGAATTTTTTACTTATTTTTTTTCATTATATTTTAATTGTTATAAAAATTAATTTAGCAGATTTTTAATAATTTTAAGAATTTCTGCTATCAATAAATTATGACAAAAAAATTGACAAGTTGAAATAAAAAAAAAATCAAAAATTCAATTTTTTTAAAATAATTTTTCGGAACAAACTTGTTTGTTAAAAAAAAAAATTAAAAAATGTTCAAGTGACTGCTAACTTTAATATTATAAAAATCTAAAAAAATTGTAAGATGTCTGTTGATTTCAGTGTCATGTTTTTGAAGCTACAGATGAATTTTTTAAATAAATTTTTCTTGCTGTGACTTATTTGTTAAAAAAAATTTTTTTTAATTATCAGATGTTTCTCAATTTCAAAATTATGTACACAAAAATTACTAGTTATTAACAAAAATAAAGTAAAGGTTATAAATGTAATTTGGTTTACTAACTTAGCAGCTTTAGCAGCTTTTATTTGATTAGCTCGCTTCATTCGAGCTTTACTTGACTTTGTGTTCATTTTATTTTGTTTATTTATTTATGTCAAATTACTATTATGTTTATAAAACGTTGAAGATTTTATTGTTGATATGATGAAAGAGAACTCAGCACATTCTCCACACTCTCTCTCTCTGACAAATGAGCACAGTAGTTCTATTGATAAAATAGAATTTTAGTTGACCAACATAAAATTTTATTTGATATTATTATTGTTATTAGAGTTCATAGGTATAGTTAAAAATCATTTGGTAGTTTGTATTGTAGAGTGTTTGGATTTTATCCAAATAAACATTTAAAATTATAATATGTCTTTATTAAAAACAATTTGGGGATGTTTGTTTAGTCCTCGTCTGTACAAGTACCAAGAAATAACATGGGTAAGTATAAAAAATTAAAAAAATTATTAAAAAATAATTACTGACAGGTTACATTAAATTAACAGAAGTCATACGAACCAAATGGTTTTGAACGATGGGGAGATCATGTCGTCACGTCTGTAAGTTATTGATCAATAAATTAATAATAAAACAATCAATTTTATTCAATAATTTACTAAAATACCTGCTATTTTATTATTTGTTTTTATTTTTTTTAGTTTGCAACGTTATGGTCACTGAGCATCTGGGCAGTCCCTATAATATCACCATTTATTTTCCGGCGTAGTTATTCGTTGATCGACAGTGTATATACAATTTCAAGATTCGTTGCTGGTGCTGGAGTTATTTTCATAGCTTCTTTGGCGGTCAGAGGTTACGCTAGAGCTAACAACCCGACTTATTTAAAGTTCATAAAGACCCTGACTAAAGCACAGCAAGCTTACAATCAAGAATCTAAAGAAGCTCTTCTTAAATATGATTTTCAATTTTGGGCATGGCCGGTTGATTTTGAAATTCTTTCGATAAATAGGTACTTAATTAATTTTTCCTTACTTACTCTATAATCTGTATACTTCCCGGCTAGTTTTTAATATAAAAAAATTTATTTTCTCTGTAGGCCAAATGGAAAAACAAGAATAGTCATCCAAAATTCAAGTAGGCTAGCTAGAAGAGGAGGCAAGGATTTAATAATGGCAGTTCCTTGTAAAATAGTATCTTATATTGTTGCTAATACTGTTGCGATAAGGCTGATGTACCCTGGTAGCTTGACTATTATAAATTTCGCTATGCGTTAGTGTTATTTTTATCTATCACTCATTTTAGTCATATAGAAGTAAACAATTTTTGGTACTATATTGATTTTTTTTTTTAAATTATAGAATCACCAATGCTGCAAGGAAGAATGGATATGCTAGACGCCGGCGGAAGTAGATCAAAACTGCGGACAGTAAACAAAAATGACATCGACACGATGTTCATTGATCGACGACACAAGTAACGTAAACCATAATTTAACTTGAATAATTATTATTCATTTATTCATGTTGCTTATTATCATATTTAATATTTTCATCAGGTCATCTAACGGTCATATACTGGTAATAACTTGCGAAGGTAATTGCGGGTTTTACGAAACAGGAATTATGACAACGCCTATGAATAAAGGATACTCCGTTCTCGGATGGAATCACCCTGGCTTTGGGGGAAGTACTGTAAGTGGTAATAGTAATTTATGTGTTTAACGGGGGAAGTTCATGTAAAATTTTCAAAAAATCAATTATCCATTTTTTTTCGATAATCTAAAAATATAGTATTTTGAGCGTGTACTCACGAGAGGAAAAAATAAAATCTCGAATATTGACGAAGTTATAGCTAATATAATGGAGCGGGCCGGAGTGCGTACTATAACTTTGAATGCGATTATCTCGAAACTGTATTTTTAAAAACTACTCGTGTTATAACTCAAAAAGTTATTGATCGATTTGTTTGAAATTTGGTGAAGTCTTTCTCTATATTACTATCAGAAGGATAAACCTAAAATTTCAGATATATTTTGCGTTGATAAAATACTTTTTTGAGTTCAAAAATGTCAAAAAAAAAGTAGCTCCAAATTCAAATTTTATTTTCAAAAGATTATTTTGTATTGAACTTAATACTTTTTTTTAATTTCAAAGGTTTATCCTTTCCGTTAATATGTTCTAAAAAGAAAACACTTTAATTTTTTTGTTTCAAATCAATGGTTAATGAGTGATAAATAGAGCAGTTTGGGACCTCGCGTCGGAGGCAGCAAACAAAAAATTATCCTGAAAAAAAAAACTTACTTTTGTACTCTAGAAAGGTTCAATTAAGTTGTGTTAAAGTTTAAAAACAATAAAATTATTTTATCATCTTTAAAAATATTTAAAAAAAAAAAATGACCGATTTTAAGACTTTTACATGGACTTCTATTCTCCCCTTAATGCTCTTTGATTAAGAGTAATAATAAATTTGATTGAATAAATTAAACTTAACTTGTTTAAAACAGGGGTCGCCTTTCCCAGATGCCGAAATTGATGGCATGGAAGCTGTAATGCGTTACGCTGTTGAAAAATTAGGTTTTCCTGAAGAAAGAATCATCGTGTATGGCTGGAGTATTGGTGGTTACACTGCCACGTGGGCTGCGATGAATTACCCTGGTATCCATGGCCTAGTTCTCGATGCGACATTCGACGACGTTCTTCCTCTGGCCATCTCACGAATGCCGGCGGCTATCGATGGCATCGTTCGCACTGTCATCAGAGAGTACTTGAACCTTAATGTCGTAGAGCAGCTGAAGAGATACGACGGTCGAGTACTTCTAGTACGTCGAACTGATGACGAAATAATGTGTACACCAACGAATAATTTGTCGGATAATCGTGGAAATATATTGCTCACTAAATTACTTATGTACCGGTATCCTAATCTGTTTGTTAACTGCCCAGAAAGTCAAGAAGTCTTGAAGAAATACCTGGAGAATCCTACTAGTGATGCTAGTAATTCGACTATATCTCTTGCTGTCAGGACTCATGGTAAGTTAAGGGGGAAAACCACTGTGACGGTCGAAAAAAAAAGGTAATTTTCGAGAATTTTTTTGTCAGGGAAAATAAAGGAATTTGGGGATCGGATTTTTTTTTATTTTATTAAGGGTATATTAAAGATTATTACCCTAAATTTTTATTAAAAAATATTTAATTATTACAAAGTTATTAACAACTTCTTAGAGCATTAGAAAAACTTCCCCCTCTATAGTCGCATCGAGAATTCAAAAACGGATCATCTGAAAATAAAAACCTAAATTGCTTTTCAATCAATAAGGATGTAGTTATCGCTGCACGTACAGAATTTTGAAAATTTTAATTTAAAAAAAAATGGTGGCTGATTGAAAATTTTCTTATTATTTTTAGTGTTTTTTTTTTTTGTTTTAACCCGGCTCAAAAAATCTTTAAAATCAAAGTTTTTAAAATTCCCTACGTGCAACGATAACTACATCCTCACTGATTAAAAAGTAATTTGGGTTTTTATTTTCAGATGATCCGTTTTTGAGTTATCGATGTGGCCATGGAGGGGGGAATTTTTTTTAGTGCTCTACGAAATTGTTAATAACTTTGTAATAATTAAATATTTATTAATAAAAATTTAGGGTAATAATATTTAATGTACCCTAAATAAAATAAAAAATCCAATCCTCAAATTCCTTTATTTTCTCTGTCAAAAAAATTCCCGAAAATCACCATTTTTTTCGACCGTCACAGTGGTGTTGCCCGTTATTATAATTACGTGGTTAATAGTTTACGATAAAATTTTTTTTTAGGGTTTTTCAGCAATGGAATGCCTCTCAATGAGAGTTTGTGTATAGAAAAAATAACCAATAGTTTGACGAAAAATACACCAGCTACCTATCCATCGAGTTTAGGGGAAGATTGTGATACTGTGACAAAACAACAGCTTGTTATTTATCTTGTAAGTGGAAATAAGTATTATTTATATTTTTTTTTATGGAAATTTTTTATAAAATTTTTATTTATCGTAGGCAAATAAATACATGGAGGACCAGGTGTCGCAACATTGCTCTCCACTTATTACTGAACTGTTTCACCCTGGTTGGGATCCTCTAAGCACATTTAAGCTCAGAGCAACGTAATGATAATGATTAAACTGATAATTAAATTCTCACAATTATGTGATTTTTTAAACAAATCAGGGAAGACAAATTATCTTCCTAATTTCCTTTATCGCATTTTTTGTTTACAATTTTAAGAAACTGTGTGGTGTGCATTATAAATTATAAATATTTATTTCCATGAGAGTTGGTAGTTAAAAATAAATTAAAATTTTTAATTACATAAATTATGATTATTATTATTATTATTAAAATTATTATGGCAATGGAATTTAATATTTATATTTAAAAAACATTTTTTTGGATGTTTGTCATCATAATTTTTTTAACGCACATAAAATATGAAAAAAACACGATAAGAGCATTTATATTAAAATATTTTCACAATTTAGAATTCATAAAATAATATTTATGACAATGTAGAGAATATTTATGAAAAATAATTATCAATATATAAATTTTTTAACACGTATTTAAAAGATATTGATCTCACGCAATTTTAAGAATTTATTGATAATAAATATAAATCTCTGTGATAACACTGCATTCAGTATTTATAAGTAAAAATTTTTCTTTTGTAAATGCACTCACTTAAAAAAAATTTATTCATTTTTTATGTAGCTTGTAATCTATCCAAAGTGGTTTTTAAAGACATCTTTACGTCGTAGCACGGATCATAGGTTTTGCTCTTAGCTGGGAATGATCTTTCAATCAAGAGCTTCAACATAGCTCTAGTTAATGGTGGAAAATAATCTTGTTGGCTTACTTTCTCAAGTGCTTTAAAACAACCTTCCAAATTCCAATCACCTTTATTTGAATTTTTATTTTCACCCTGCAACAAAAATTTATTGATTAATCTATATATATATATATATATATATATATATATATAAATGAATAGCTGTGCGTTAGTTTCGCTGAAACTCAAAAACGACTGGATTGATTTTGATAATTTTTTTTTGTTTTGTACGTTATAGTTCAAGGATAGTTAAAAAAAAAAAAGTTGAAAAAAAAATCCTAAATATTAAAAAATCAAAAATATCAAGTCACATCAATTGTTTCCTGCTTCTCAGTAGTATTTCATTTGTCACCTATAGAAGTCTATCTATCTTCTATCTTCTTCTTCTATATATATAAAAATGAATAGCTGTGCGTTAGTCTCGCTAAAACTCAAAAACGACTGGAACGATTTCAATAATTTTCTTTTTGTTTTGTTCGTTATAGTTCAGGGATGGTTTCGAAAGAATAAAATTTTTGAAAAACCCGAAAGTTTAGCTAAGAAAATCAACAGATCTAAAATTGTTAATCGTCTATCTTCCGTATATATGGACAAAAAAAATTTCATAAATTCAGTGTTCATTTTTTGGGATCTTGATATTCAGGCGATAATGAGAAGCGAGTTTCATCATTTAATAACTTTACAAAATTTTAACCGCACTTCATGCAGCCAGTATTCATTCTTTATCGAAGTAAATTAGAGTTTAAAGATTGATAATCGCTGTTCGAAAGGTGTAATAAAATATATTATAGGTGATACGAAGTTCACCGGGTTAGCTAGTTTAATATAAATAACTGACCACCTGATGAATAATTATTTACAATTTAACTCAAATAATAATTATACCTTGATGAGTCCTAGGTGGACCAGAAGATTATTATTGACATAAGACATCTGATTATTAGTCGTTGCGTAATCAAAGAGATGAAAGTACAATTGATCAGTTAATTTTTCGGCTTCAACTCTAATGTCTCCATATCCACTTCCACATAAGGCTGATACTTTCATGGCAACGGGTAGTAATTCATCAATATACTGTAAAGGATCTTGAGAATTTTTTTCACTTGCAATACTCTGTAACAAATAATTAAATATATATATATATATATATATTTGATGATATTGTACTCTACCAAAAATCCTAAAAAAAAAGAAAAATTGATCAACAAACCTTAACATGCTCCAAGAGTTTGCTGGCTTTGTCGCCTTCAAGCAGCAAAAAATTTTCTCCAGTAGGTTCTTTCAAAAACTCCTTAACACTTACTGGTTTTTTAGGTTTAGGAATAGTAGACATTTGAATATTCGTATTAACTTTAACTGTACCATTTTCTTTATCATCATCTTCGCTACCTTCCTTCTCAGTATCTTGGCCATCTTCACCGTCACCCTCAGAATCTTCATCTTCTTCACCACTCACTTCGTCATCAGTCGCATCTTCCTCAAGCTGCTCCAATGATTCGATTCTGTCGTAATTTTTCAAGGATTGACGCAAAGCGTTTCTACCAGCTTCACCAAAAGCATTTCCGTCTAGCTGTAAGGTCGCCAGCTGGGTCTTGTCAATCGTAGCTCTGGCCAGCGATTCTACAGCCCTCGTTTTTATTTCATTAAACGCCAGATTAAGTTCTACCAAAGACGTGTGATTGCCTTGAATTCCCAAAGCATCAGCAATTACCATCGCTCCTTTAGTTTTCAGCAGACAATCTCCCAGGTTCAAAGTCTCCAGAGCAGGAAAATTAGACAGAACATCTGCAAGAGCTTGAGCACCTTTAGGACCCACAGTGTTGTCATTTAAATTTAAAATTTTCAATCCTGGATTAACTGACAGCCCAGTTGCCAGTGCAGAAACTCCCGGATGGTAAATTCCATTCTGAGGCATTACAACTTCTTCGAGTGTTCCAAGCTTAGCGAAGACACCAGCCAAAGCCGTGGCTCCCTCGTTCTCCAGACGATTACGCCCTGCAATGAAAACTTTAAGCGCCAAAGGTTTCGCTTCCTTGGAGCTGTTGACATGACAATCCAGCAGAGCTTTCGCTAGCATTTTTCCACCAGATATTCCCAGGCCATTGTTGTTAAGTCTCAGCGCTTGTAGCGTGTAACACGTGCTTGAACTCAATAATGCAGCAAGTCCTTGAACTCCAATCGGCCCAAATGCATTATCACTGAGATCCAGTTCAACCAAGTGTGCTCCAGCGATATTCAATCCGTCTCCCAAGTACTCTAGGGCCTTAGGAATCTCTGTTTTCATTCTGCCGGTAAACATGTCTTTCCACAATGCTCGTTTCAGAGCACCACCATGGCTCGCCAGGGTTTCCGATAATGCTTTAGCAGCATCCGGGCCCAGAGTGTTACCTTCCAAGTCTAAATAGTCCAACCGAGGGCATTTTTTTATCTCCTCGCAGACTTCCTCAGCTGAAATTTTTTTAGGTTATGTTTGAGATTGTGAAAATTATATTGAAATTATAACACAAAATAAGTGATTAAATAAATGTACGTACCATCTTTCTCAGAGTTTAATTTTAGTGATTTACCATTAAATGAAACTCCGGTCTCATTATTTGTAGAAGTAACTTCCAACTCGTGTTGAAGCTCTCCAAAATTGAACGAAGTCATTGTTTGAAAGTTAGTTTTATTTTTTTCTCACTTAAATTATTGAAAGTGGAAATAATTAAAGACGGAAAATTAGCAAAATAATTGGATTAATATGAAATGTTTATAAAGAAATTTAATGACTGCGTAGAAAATGTATGCAACAACGTAATCACGTTTTCACTGAGCGGGAAAAAACGGAAAATAAACTAATGATGCTTTGTTTGTGTTTTCGAATGAAATTCATTTCTACCAACGTTCGTTTATTTTTGTCAACTGTCAACACTATTTTCGGTGACTTGCTGATAATTTCAAATATGGAGACTATACACACAGTGTATAGTCTCTGTATTCAATGCATTAAGTGTTGTGATGCACCTAATGCATCCAACAGGTGACGCTACCTGTTATTAGAGCGCTGACTATTATGAGAGCGCGAATTCAAACGAAATATTCAAACTAGTAAATATTAAATGATTAAAATTAGTTAATATTCCAGTCCTTTATTTAATGCTTTTACTCTTACCAGTTGTAAAATAAACATCTTTTGGTTAACTCTGTTTTATTTACAAAAGAAAATAAAATAAAATAAAATAAAATAAAAAACATATACAAAGGTACATTGTAACCGAATTTTCAAAACCCATAAAAAGTACTTGAGTAATTCAAGGACTTTCTCGCAAGATGAAACTTAAAACCCTATGAGGAAAAGTCGTAAAAGACACGTGTGAAATTCAATAGACCCTTGTTCTAAAGTAACAAAGAATAATAAAAAAAAAACATATGTAACTAAACAAAAATAATATTGTTAAATAACATTTACTGTTAAAATCTAACTTTATATAATATTGTAGTTAAGCAAAATTGAGTTAAAATAATTAATAATTAGTATCTTATATTTAATTTATAACTAATAATTATTAGTTAACTAATTTACTATTAAATCATTATCTAATTATTATTTAATTTATAATTAAATAATAATATCTATTCTTTTATACAGGATAATAATTAAACTGACTTATAATTTTATTAGAAAACTCGATTGTAAAATGATAGAAATAATATTTAATTCAAATTATTAATTATTCAAACTCAAACATTAGTCCAACATATTATAAATAATATAATATTTATACTTTCATTCAAGTTAATTATAAGTTAATTTTATTATAAATAAATTTTAAAAAGGGTTTGTTAAATTAATAAGAATAGTTGGATAAACATAATGACTGTATTGCTAAAAGTATATATAAGTGAAGTCCAACTTTCAGGCCGATAGGCTGAAGTAAATATATATAGATATAGAGAAAATACATGTTAGTGTATAAGGATCATTTATATGTAGTAGAAAATGTATGTATTTATATATTCCTTAGAGTGGATGTATGTGTGGAAGTTATGGTGGGAGAAGAACGGAGTTTGAAGATCTTCGGAAAAACTATGTAACGACACTTCTCATCGAGAGATTAGATTGCTAAGATCACGTCATTGTAAACCCCAATTTTATATTTTGAAGCTTTTAATATTTTGTCAACTCGAATAATAAATTGAAACCAACTAAATAATTTTGATCAAAATTAAATTACGTCTAAATAGAATTCTTTTATTTAAAATTATTCCTTTCCCGCGCTGAAACTGAGTATTTTAATACTCCCGGGCGAAAGAACTACAGTAAGTAAAGTTTTAAATAAATAAAAATAACATCCACTAGATGGAAGCATAACAGTTCTAGTCGCATGTGCAATGTGCGCGATTAATTTAAATAAATTTATTCACAATAAATATTATTGGAATTAAAATAATATTCAATATAAATTTTTTTTTTAATCATAATTTTTTCTAGAATTTTAAAATTCAATTTTCGAAGAGAATGGAAAAATTTTAACCCGACTAACTTCAAGGTGATAATAAAATTCCACGCCAGCTGCTGGGAAACTTGTGTAGATAAAATTAATGGCGGGCGCATATTTTTATCAAGAGTCTCTTGTATGCTTGTATATGTTCTTATAGAGTGAGAGGTAGGGTAAGACCCAAAACCAGTAAAACATCATTTTTTTTACTTATATTATTTTTAATGGTTACAACTACACATGTGTCAATAAAATAATATTCGGTAAGAATACTATCTAAATAAATGTCAATTGCTAAAACAATGTTTTCTATTCAGCACAACTATTTGCCTAAAATAAATTAATTACTTTAGTTTCCCAGAGGATTTTATTTAGTCATCTTGCTAAATGCATGTTCATGCTCATAAAAAACGTACGTAATATTTTATTCAATCTATCCTCATTCTATTGACACGAGTCTCGTCGTCATTATAAATCTATATTCAGCCATTTCACGTTTACTTTATTTTAATTCTTATCCGATTTTCATCACCGACATTTTACACCTTTTAAGTATCTTTTGTTATATGTCCGCATATTTAAAAACTTATTTGTTTAAGATAAAAAAAACGGTATAATAACAATTGTTTCAACTTCGTCAATACTGTCTTAAACGTTGCACATAATCAATTGCCTATTGTTTAAAATATTACATACGTTTTTTTTTTTTCATTTATTTATTTATCATTGTCATTAAAAAATAAATAATTGATTAATTAACTAATTATTACGTGTTTAATTAAACAGTATTTATGCAGTCCTTGAACTCGGTAAATCTGCAGGTGTCAATCACATAATGGTTTTTTATTTCAATTGAAACCGTAAGTATGCTTAATTTATTTATTAAAATTTTAAAGTAATGATTATAAATAAATTTTAAATTAATTATAAATATGTGGGTAGTAAATTATTGATGAAATATTTTTAAATGGTATTTTTTGAGTGGATTCAACTTTGACCCGGAGAATTGCTGAGGAATTTGATCAGAACGTAAGAAATAAGCCCAGGTGGTTATGATTGCTGAAAAATAATGACAGCAAATGGATAAGTAAGTGTGGAAGATGAATGAGTTTGTGAAATAATTGAAAAATTTTTTGTTACTGAAAGTTGTAACTAAAATTTATACAGACACAAGCTTTATATTTGGAAATATATATATCTGTATATACATAACTAGGAAATACAGAGTACAGTATTAGTATTGCATATTATGCATATACTTCTTGTGTATTGAATTAGAAAGAATAATTAAAGAAAGACTGAAAGAGGGATGTAGTACATTTTCCAAGTCTTGGTTTAGACATTCTAAATTTAGAACATAGCCGACTTGATTCTCTACCACGCTTACAAAATAATATATAACATACTGAGAGTAGTGCCGTGCTAAACAAACGAGTGAGATCTTCTTGTGGATTTAACTCTCCAACGACGGGGCATAGATCTCACACTAATTTTCTACCTTTCTGATGGCTCACTGCCAAATTTCAACGAGTTTAACCGAGAATTATCGATAAAATTCTTTTTTTATTTATTTATCTTTTTGTTTTAACTTATCCGTATCGTACTATTACATTTTTAACGTGTTTATTTTACTTCAATACGTTGAGACGTTTAATTGTTTTGGTTTGTTCATTTTATTTAACTTAACTTTATTTTTATATTCTTTCTTTTTAATCGTTGCATGCTCATTTCTGAGCAGGTGCAAATTATTTATTATATTTATATTTAAATTAGAGTAATGAAACGAAGAAATCTATGTATATGTTTGTTGTACGTTTAAAACTAGTGACGAAATTAAACTAAATGTGATGTAGTTTTAAGTGGGAAACTTATTTTTAAATAATTTAATTTTATTGTACTAACTTCAGACATTTTATGTGTCTACAGACGATGGTGGTGGTAGCTGGTGAAGGTATTGGAGATGTTGTCCATGATATCCCACTTTGTAATGTGACAAAAGATAGAGATTCGCATAGAACAGTACCTGGTAAATTTTTTTTTAATTAATTTATGCTTGTAATATTGTTGTGAGATTTACATCGTCCATTTATTTTTTATTTTACTTACATTTTTCAAATTAATTTAAAAAAAAAAAAAAAATTATTTAGATACCAAATCATTACTATGAACAACACTACTTGTATTGTTTTATTGATAAATTTATGAATGAAAAATAAACAGCAATTGATTTTCTGCTTAAAAATAATTTATTCTATTATTTACATTAAAAAAAAAAAAAATAATAAATAAATAATTAAAATACAAAATTTTAATTGATGATAATTGTTTACAGAATTAGAAGATTGTAGTGACCCAAACAAAATGAAGACAAAGATAAAAGTCAAGAAGACAATAGTAGTAGTGGCTGGTGAAGCTAAATTTCCAGCGAAAATTATCGACACGAAAAATAATTTAATAGCCGATTATTCGGTGCTACTGATGGCGCCGAACTCGATCGTGAGCCAAGTCAGGCAAGCGGTTTCGATCTGCTGCAAAGACTCACCCTCAATTGACAAGTTCAATTTGTATCTAACGCAGGGAGAAAATTATTTTCCGCTGGACGACATGACCAAGACCCTGGACGATTACGGCGTTAATTTCGACTCACCAAAAGTCAACGAACAGAGTGGGCAGCTTACTTTTGAGCGACATAACAACGATTGCAAGTATGAGTACAGTAGCACCGAGGATGTCTACCTGGAGTTCAAGCTTCAGTACGAGGAACAGAAGGACTTGCTGAACATCAGTTTTCTTGTCTCTAAGGCAACCTGGGTAGAAGACTTGATAGCCAACATAAAAGAACATGTCAATTTTCTTTTCGATAACAAAAATACTGTGAAATTTGTACTCTTGTACAATGGAACCTCGATATTTTCATTTAAAGCGCATCACGATACAACGATAGGTGAATTTGGTTTTGATTTTTCAAAATCAGCCGAGGTGATACTTCAACTTCGAGTGTGTGACACTCCCAACTGGGAGGATAGCCACTCTCCGACGAGGAACAGAAGAAACGCCAGCACAACCGATGGGTTTGATTATTCAGCCGCGTTACGTGGTGCAGATGACTCAGGACTCAGTCAAAACAAAGAGAGTGATAGTAGACTCACATCGAACAACAAAACAGTAAAA